TGGTGCTGAATGAGGAAGATATTTTATTTTTAATCAATCCAACAACCTTAGAGTATCGTAGAATTTGTAGCTAGTGGGAATTGAACCGGTGACCTTATGAAGGTTTTGAACCCCCTTGACCATTAAACTACACTTTTGGGTTATGTTAAAGGGGTTCAAAACTTAATATATAGAGGTAAAAAACCCCTAAATCCGCCCCTGCCTCTAGCACGTATGCTCTAGGCTATGATTCTGTTAGTGACGATTATAAGGTGGTTACTCTTTCTTATTATAAGAATGGTATATCCTGTACTTTTGTAGATGTTTACTCTGTGAGAATGGGTTTATGGAGGCGACTTGAGAGCTTATGTACTGATGGTGCAATTCCTAGTCACGGTTTTGCGATTTTGGTAAATGGGGCTTTGCATTGGTTGGCTGGCAAATCTTTTCCATCTGCAATTGTTGGTTTTGATTTAAGTGATGAGAAATTCTTTGAGGTGCCAATGCCTATTGATGACAATCATTATCCATGTCATGATTTTGTGGGTCTTAGAGGGTGCCTTTGTCAGGTGGCTAATGTTAAACTAATAGCAAACAAAGTCTATGTTTGGATCATGAAAGAATATGGGGTTGCGGAGTCTTGGACCAAATTTAGTGTTACAGGACAAAATTTAGCTTTCACGCCCTTGTGCTTAATAAGTGATGATGATATTGTATTTGATGTGTGTGGAGAAAAGAAGTTGATTGTCTACAATAAGAAAGAGGAACAGTGGAGAGATTTGAATGTTGATGGAATAATTGCTAAGCTTGCAAGGATTAGAACTTTCACGGAGAGTCTTGTCTCTCCTATGTTTGGCCTTGATGCAATATTCTGAGATGATGTTATACTCAGGTATTACATCATATTTTCATAATTTCTTATTCATTTTTAGTTTATGTTTTTTTATTAGGTTCTCATATTTAATAACCTCATATTTTATGAAAGGTAATTCTTTTGTTCTTGTAGAATTGTGTGACCGGTAATTCTCTCGTCCTCATAGAGTTTGTGATGGTAATTCTTCAATCCTGAAGAAGATATATTGCATTTCATGAAAAGGAAAATACTTGGATTCGTCGCTTGCATTAATTTTCAACATCATAAAAATGCTAGTGCTTTAAGGGAAAAATAGTTACATTTTGGGCATACACTGTCTTGAAAAGAATAGTTTGCAGACCTTTCGACTCTTCTTTGACTCATGAGTTAACCTCACAATGAACTAATGTAGTATTGCCACTTCTGTGCATTCTGTTTTTAAGCAATCTGATGGTAGAAGTCTTATCTAGCTGCTCTATATACAGAGATTACATTTACGTTACTCCCTGCTTGATTGTGTAATTGTCAGAATCTATGATTACAAAGACTAAAGGTCAATGTTGGCTACAACTATATCTTAAGAAGCAGATACCTGCTAGTTAATAATTTAGCATATTTTCTATCTTATACTAAGATAACTAAATCTCGAAGAAACTCTTTTTAAAAACTCTTGATGCATAAATATGTTGTTATTTTCTGGTTCATTTATCGCCTATGATAGGATGGTTTATCACTGATTGTCTTGTTTTTCCTGTAAATTGTTCAAAAGCCACTCTATTTTGTTTGCATAGCAAAACTGTGGTCGCAACCTTGACAAATAACAGTTTCAACAGTATTATGAAGGCTACATCTTTAGCCAAATCCATTACTTATAATGAATGTTGCTGGTTTTCATATTTATTCTTCTGAGGTTGCTATCATGTTACAACATGTTATCTACAGATGTTAGCCTATGCATTTATCTTTTAAGTGTAATGCAGCATAACACCCATTTGACACTTGTTCTATGCCTTACGCAGGGATATATTTGCTTCTATGGAATTGATTGTTAGAGAACTTGGACAGAGTCATTGAGGCCTGGATTTCAGTATATTTTAGTTCCAAGACTGTTGCTCTTTAGTTATGATGTTATAAAATGGATACACTATTTAAGATCTTAAAAAAGATTACTATCGTAGAAGTAGATTTGCATTTGTGATTTGTATACTGTTTAGTTGATTATTCACGTATCAGTTTAGTTTCTCAATAGATGATCTTAGTAACTATGGTTTTGGTGGTGAATGACCAAGATTTTGCCTAAGAATTTAAGCAAATTCCTCCCACAGTCCCACTATGGGGATTGACCAACTAGCTAGTTTTACTATTTCATGGAAAAAAGGGTATGATCCTATCACTGATGATTACAAGAATTTTATGCTTTCGTATGACATATACAACGAACATGAAGCGGGTATTACACACACTTCCATTGATGTTACTCTTCAAAAATGGATTCTTGGAGTTGGCTTGAGGGTTCTTGATATGATCATGTTGGTATCTATAGTTCAGGAGCAATACAACACAGCTCAAGAGCTTCAATGGCAGCTCAGGGATAATGCAGAAACTAAGCAACAAGCCTGTGACAAATGAACAAAAATAGCATATGGTATATATTGATATTCCACTGTAAAGAGTACACTTTCTTATTCATACAATTGAAACTCACCTAACTGCTGCTATTGTAAGCTTCTAACATGTGCTGCCATTGCTAATTTTCTCATTATCCGCCTTCCTAAGAACTAAGCAGCATATAATTTTCTTACATGCACCCTTGGTCCCAGAGACCAGTCCCCATATTTGTGCTACATTCTCCTGTAACTTGCATGCCAAAAGATGCCCCTTGAAAACTACAAATAGGACCATAAACTTCTTCCTAAGCCAAGTGGATAGTTATTCGATCCGATAAACCAAAGCATCCTGGCTAACCGACTAACCATTGAGAATGGAACAAATAGGGGAGATTGAATTCTTCTCTCGTCAAAATAGACTGTAACTGAGGTGAACCAACTATGATATAGTTGGAAAAAGATTCTCAACTCACTAACATTACATAAATGAAACAGGATGCATGATAATACTTTCAGAACCTGGAGGTCAAAATTAGATAACATGTTATCTACGTGCAACCAACAAAGTGAAACAGAGCCCATCGGCGTGCTTCTATCACTTCCCCAAAGAAATGCAATAGGGCCTGAGTTCTATTAGCTCGATGAAACCACCAATCAATCAATTACATGCACCTTAATCCAGAGTTCCAGACTACCTGGACTATATGAACTCTCTATATCCAGTCCGCCCTGTTTGCACGGTTTCACCCGTTTCTCAAGCTCAATAAAACTATATAAGAACAAAAAGCAAAAGGCTAAAACTAAAAAAATAAAATAAAAACATGGCATCTTGTTCTTAAAAGTGTACAAGATAGCTACTACACCAACACAAATCTTTTGAATAATACTATTCAAATCTAGGTGAATATTCTCATAGCAAGATTTCAAATACCATCCAGTAGGCTATTATAGATATCTAAGCTTCACATTTCCAACAGGGACATTGGGTTGGAATCATCCAAATGAATCTTAGTGATAGATACTTTTCAAACTGTGAAACCTCTTATAAATTTCTCAATAATTTGTAAAATACCTTTACTAATAGAGGAACCCCTGCATGAAGTCCTCGTAAGTTGGCCATGTCAACTTTGGCTGCCTGACGTTGCTCTTGTTTGATAGGATATGCAGAGTGCATTAAAATTAGCAGCATAATTACTTCTCCAAGAAAAAGAAAAATTAAGATTAGCAGCATATGAGGCACTCATTAACTAAATTTGGACAGAATAGTGTTAACAAGGGACAGATCTGATTTTTTGATATGGATGGCTAACAACAACAACAACAACAACCCAGTAAAATCCCACTAATGGGTGTGATTTTAGTACACAGGCAGTAGCATATCGACAAATGTCATTATTGTTACGCCGACCACCAGGTCGTGAGGCTTTCCCAATAAATGTTTTCTATTTATATTCTTGTCTCTTAGAAAGAGCGGCTAAACGATCGGACCAGACAGGAGCAGGTAGCTTGACCGCCTTGCCCGTCTTTGAAACACAAGCGAGAGACATATCGGCCTATATTCCCACCAATGTGATCCCCGAACAGATACACACTAGCCCACCTGAAATAAGGTAAAAGCCTTCTTTTCAACCCTTTATATGAGACTCTTAGCTGATTAGCTATCTAAAGCAGTAGAGGAAGGAAGCAACAATGGTCCTGGAAGCTGTTGTGGAGAACTTATGCCCCAAAAAAGTGGCTATGTTTGGATGGCTAGCAATTAATGAAGCTTGCCTTACACAACAAAATCTTTAAAGGAGGGGAATACAGTGATGCAGTGTGTGATATTTTTGCAAAGAAAATTGGGAGATTACCAATCACCTTCTTCTACATTGCAGGTTTATATGGCAGATCTAGTGCATGTTCCTCAATCTATTTGGAGTAGTAAGGGTGATTCTAGGAAATTTGAAAGAAGCAGTTAAAAGCTGGAATGGTCAGAAGAGGAGGGGGAGGGTGAGGGGGTGAGGGGGAGGGAAGCAGAATACCCTATGGATAAGATACCTCCATGCATATTTTGGACAGCTTGAATAGAAGGAAGTCATAGGAATTTTGAGGATAGGTTCCAGTCCTTATTTTTATGAAGTCTATTTGTCTACAGAACTTAAATTCTTGGTGTAAAAGGAAACCTGTAGAGGAAATAGAAGATATATTGGAATTCATGAATTCCTTATGTACTTGAGGGGATGAATACATAACACTTTTGGTAACATGATAGGTACCTACTTGGTCCTATTGACATCAATAAATTTACTTTTCACCAATCAAAAAAATATCTCCAGTACTACCTTCACTCTTCTTAGAAACACATTTTGGTTTAATGTTCCAGTGTTAGAAACTTAATGTGGTAGTATTAATAATTACCCAAGAATGTCCATAGCAAGAACTATGTGCAGCAATAAGAATCCATCCTTCAGCAGCGTCCGGTACAAAATGAGAATATCAAAGATTATAACCTCAAAGAAGGAAGAATGCACCAAACCAGATGCCTCAAAATCACAACGGCAACAAAAAATGAACAAGGAGAATATACAATATGAATTCAATTATGCCTCCCATTGAAATTTATATAACTTAAAAAAGATTATGTCACAAGAACACTATGACAAATGAAGGAATACAATAACCAGTGTTCTAACACAGGCCTAAATAACAAGTACATCGTGGCACATATCGTGAATAAGTGGTACAAAAATTTAAGGTAAAAGGGCATCCTAATCTCGACTTTAATGCATCCCTTTCTTGTGCATTCAAGAAGATGACGGTACCTTGACAGCTTTAAACGGTGGGTGAAGTAATCCAAGCTCATCGTTCACTTCAAGCGGATTGCTTGTTTCGTTCCGTGTTCTCTTCACTCTCCTACTACCAAGAGATTTATGAGTGAATCCATACATCTGAAGGATCTGGTTGTCGCCAAAGTTGAATGCACGATCCATTTGCTTCAAACACCTCTCTACCGAATAATCTCCAAACTTTGCACAAGGCTTGCAACCCACAAAGTGAGTAACAAGGGGCCACCTATGGTCACCAAGACCCGGGTGGTAATTCTCAATCATCTCTTCATATTTATCCACCAAAATACCCCAGTAACCGTGCAAGTAATAAGCACTCTCGAGATACACCTTATCACCCCATTTCTCCTTCTGAGTAGCCAATATATATACCATTGCAGACTGATCATCAGCTTCGAAAACTGGTCTACCTTTAAGCTCCCGAGTAAGAATCGCCCCGGCTTCATCCCTAATCTTTCCCTTTGGTCCCATAGGTGCCAAAGTATCAAGCAAATCTAAAGCCCATTGAGTATTCCTCAATAAGAAACTACCAGTATTCAAACCAATCCAATTCTTCTCATTATAAACCATATCATTCCATCCATGCATAACAAGATCAACATCTTTATACCTTTCCCAAGGCAGCTCAAAAGCCATATCAGTAAACATAGCATCACTATCCATCCACCAAATAAACTCAACCTCAGGATGTGAAAGCAAAAGCTTCCTAAGCAAAGGCAATTTAGCCCAAAAACCAGACATTTCAGCATCAAGCAAAGCCATATTGTAAAAAATCTCAATCCCATGAAGCCTACAATAATCAATCTTGTTCTTTATTGACTTCAACAAGTAATGATCACCAATTGGATTTTCACATGGTTTAGGTGATGAACCAGTAACCAACAAAACCCTAGGCTTATTTGGTCCTACAAAATTAGGAAAATTAAGATTCTTTTTCAACCACTCAGCTCTTTGCTCATCCCAATCTGATATTTTAGGACCAAGATTATAAGGTTCATTCGGATCTCTCTTAAACTCAGGCTCACCATCATCTTCATCAACTAAAATTTTCTTTAAATCAAAAGTAGCATAGTTATTACTATCTGATGATGTAGCACCACCACCACCCTCAGTTGCAGTATCTACCTGTTGTGCTTCCTCAAGAACGCGTCTGGGCTCCACGCGCTTTCGAACATAGCTAAATGTGTCACGAATTTCCTTCAAATCTTGACCAGGTGTACCAAATTTTCCAGCACCCAAATTGCCTCTAAGGACAACAATGGTAAGAAACAAACATAAAAATGTAAGCTTTCCATTTCTTACAATTCTCCTTACTTGCCATGCTCTACGAGCACTCAAGAACCGATCTAGCATTGTACTTTTATTAAATACCCAGAAGCTGAAATGGAATAAAAATCAAATCTTGATGGTGAAAAAGGGATAAAAATCAAATCTTGGAAAGTTTTTACAAGGAAATTGATACAGAAATGGAAAGTTTGGTTCTTGATTTCATTTGGGTATTGAAATTTTGGGAAATTGGGTGTTTAAAAATGGAGATTTAGACAAGATCTGAGGTGGGTTTATGAGGAAAAGAAGGTGTCGGTGGATGTAAGAAAAATAGAGATGGAGATGAAAAAAATGAGAGGAAAGAATGTACTGTTGTATGCTTTTTGATTCCGACAAGATTTAAAATATTTTATTTAAGTTAAGATTATTTTAATCATTTAATGAAATGATTTATTAATTAATTACAGTCTGGATTATACTACGCGTAGTGGGAGAGTAGTGCTGTGTTGTTTCCTTTTTTCCATTTTATTTTCCAATTTTAGTCTTTGGCAGGTAGACAGCAAGTTCTAGTGAAAGGTCCACATATATATGTTTACATAATGGTAATATATTTTACTTTCCAAGCTTATGACATATTGCCATTATAAACTCTGCATTAATACTATTGTTTAATTATGTGAAGATTATATTAGCAAAACATAGTTTTATATCGAACATTGAATAAGTAAAACAATCTTTTATATAGAGATTAATAATTTTTTATTCCAAACTAAACGACCTTCACTTTTTTAGCTTATAGAAATGCATGTCTAAATTGTTTATATCATATACACTTATTATATGTAACACGGTTTAATTAAACAATTAAGAGTATTACGGGCTAGGAAAAATTAAAAAGCTTTAGCTTTGTAAAAATAAGTTGATGGTTCAATATAATTAGTTCTTACTCCTTTATTAATGTTGAGAAATTTTACGAGAATTACTTATTAACAAAATTGTATACGGTCAAAATTGGGCCTACCCGATTTTGCTATTTGATCGAAACAAAGGAGCTGCATCAGGGGTAACCTCGTAATGAATCAGACCCGAGTTCGAAGACGAGGCACCGAGTCCAAAGATCGAAGTGTCCATCGAGACCGAGGCCAGCAACAATCGAGACTAAGTATGACCGACTTCGAGTGAAATGCAATACGGAAAGGCGAAATATCCGTAATCGGTCTGAGATCATGGCGGAAATCTCGGAGCAGATCAAATCAAGGGCGGTTATTTGTATTAATCATGGGATTTACTTCCGTAATTAGTATTGTACCACAATTAATTCCTCTAGTATATAAAGAGGGGTCCCCATCATTTGTAGACACCTTACATTCATACAGATCAAAGAAATATAATATTTCTCTATTGTTCATCAATTTATTGTTCTTTAACTATTCTTACTTTGCAACCCTCGAGGGTTCAACAACTCGAGGGCATTGTCCAAGCACTGGTTTGTCTTACATTCTTGTAAATTTCGTCACTTATCTCTAAATTAATCAATTGGCATTAGGTGAAATCATGTAACCTTAAAACCACATTACAAGTTTAATTGTTATCGATTTTTAGGGTAAACAGTTTGGCGCCCACCGTGGGGCTAAGGATAATAGTGATTGCTTAATATTAACCTTCATAACACACACTGCTTTTACACTTGTTCTTGTAAGTGTTTTTGATTTCAGGAATCAACATGTCACACTCTCAAGCAGTACCCACTCACACTAACACCGGCATTGGTCTTCATGGCGAAAACGAACACGTAGTCGCCCCGGGAAACGGGGTGCCTCCAATCAATCCCGACGCACCACAGGTCGTGGATACGGTTGATGTTAGTTTTCGTGTTGCCATTCGAGGAGATTTTGGCATCGACCCTGAAAAAAGCGTCCGCACAGACGCCCGGGCAGCCGATCAGAACGCATAAAATGGTGAAGAAGGCGGAATTAGCCTTCGAATGATATTTGACATGCTACAAACTCAGCAGGCTGTAATAGGGCAACTCCAGAATCGGACACCAAGCAGAATCGAACTCGACACGTCACAGGAAATTATTCATAGAGTCGAGCATGTACAGGAGAAATTTATAATGGATCAGGAACTGACCCCGCCATCATGAGAATGCTCGAGGAGCTCACTAAACGGATAGAATCAGGTGAAAAGAAAATCGAGGACGATGACAAAAAGGTAGAGACATACAACTCACGGGTTGACCAAATACCGGGGGCACCTCCGATCCTAAAGGGTTTGGATTCGAAAAAGTTCGTACAGAAGCCTTTTCCTCAAAGTGTGGCTCCGAAGCCCATTCCGAAGAAGTTCCGTATGCCGGATATACCTAAGTACATCGGGACTACCGATCCTAATGAACACATCACTTTGTACACATGCGGAATAAAGGGAAATGACTTAGAAGATAATGAGATTGAATCCGTTTTGTTGAAAAAATTTGGGGAAACTTTATCAAAGTAGGCAATGATATGGTACCACAATTTGCCGCTCAAATCCATCGATTCTTTCGCCATGCTCGCTGATTCATTCGTAAAGGCGCACGTCAGAGCAATAAAGGTCGCGACCAGGAAGTCGGACCTCTTCAAAGTGAGACAAAAGGACAATGAAATGCTAAGGGAGTTTGTATCTCGATATCAGATAGAACACATAGATCTACCCCTGGTTACCGATGATTGGGTTGTCCAAGCTTTCACTTAAGCTTTGAACTAGCGAAGTTCGATAGCATCACGTCAACTAAAGCAGAATTTGGTTGAATATCCAGTGGTGACCTGGGCCGATATGCATAATCGGTACCAATCGAAGATCAAGGTCGAGGATGATCAGTTGGGAGCTCCATCTGGTTCCGTTTACCCAAACAGGTCCGAAGGTAGGATTCAAAGGGACATCGACAGAGAGCCCCGATCGAACAGAGATCGATACCAACCATATAGTACAGATCGAAGGAACAACGGACCGGGATGTAATCTCGTTCTAAATTATTGAAGGAATGATCGAGGTAAAAATTCTTGAGGGCTCATGAGTAAGAATGGCTTCGATAAACACGTCGAGCCTAAGGAAGCACCACGGTTATCAGAATACAACTTCAACATCGATGCTTCAGGTATTATGTCAGCCATTGGACGACAAGGATACTAGATGGCCCAGACCCCTGCAAACCTATCCAGCTCAAAGGAATCCGAATCAAATGTGAAAGTACCATGGAACCCATGGTCACAGGACCGAGGACTGCAGACAATTAAGGGAGGAGGTAGCTCGTTTATTCAACGAAGGCCATCTTCGAGAATTCTTGAGTGACCGTGAAAAAAATCATTTCAGAGACAGGGATGCAAACAGGAAAAACGAACAGGAGGAACCATAGAACGTGATTCATATGATCGTTAGTGGGGTCAATATCCCTCAGGGTACAACATTTAAATGCACCAAAGTCACAATCACAAGGGAGAAGCATACCCGGGACTACTTACTAGAAGATACCATCCTTCAACGATGAGGATGCAAAAGGGATCGAACAGCCTCACAATGACACACTGGTAATATCTATCCTTATGAATAAAATTCAAGTTAAACGTGTGTTGGTTAATCCATGTAGCTCAGCGAATACTATTCGATCGAGGGTCGTGGAGCAACTCGGCCTTCAGGATCAGATTGTGCCTGCTGCTCGAGTGCTCAACGGTTTCAACATGGCGAGTGAAACCACTAAAGGGGAGATTATGTTGCCAGTAAATGTGGCTGGAACTATCCAGGAAACGAAGTTCCACGTGATCGAAGGAGATATGAGGTACAACACGCTGCTCGGAAGACCTTGGATCCATAATATGAGGGCAGTACCTTCAACGCTTTATCAAGTCTTGAAATTCCCAACATCGGAAGGAGTCAAGATGGTGTACGGCGAACAACCCGTAGCCAAAGAAATGTTTGCAATCGATGATGTAATACCAGTGTCGACTCTCACATCAACAAAGCGACCAGAATCAAAAGAAAAGCATAAGGTCAAATAACAACCACAGTCGCCGGCTTCGACCAGATTGGAACAACAGGAAATTATCGAGGACGATGATTGCATGATACCTCGAACCTTCGTAATCCCTGACAACTCCGATGCCATGAAGTCAACGGTCGAAGAGCTAGCACAAATCATACTGATCGAGCACCTGCCCGATCGAAAGGTATACCTGGGCACGGGGTTAACTCCCGAGCTCAGGGAAAAACTCATTAAATTTCTTATTAAAAATATGGATTGTTTTGCTTGGTCCCGCCTTGACATGATAGGGATCCTACCGGAGATCACCACACATCAATGTAGTTTGGACTCGAAGTTCAGATCGGTAAAGCAAAAGAGAAGGCCACAGTCCGAGGTAAAGCATGCGTTCATCAAGGACGAGGTAACCAAACTTCTCAAAATAGGGTCTATCCAGGAAGTAAAATATCCCGAAAGGTTAGCAAAAGTAGTTGTTGTCCCCAAGAAGGGGAATAAATTTAGAATGTGTGTAGATTATAAAGACTTAAACAAAGCATGCCCTAAAGACTCTTTTCTATTGCCAAATATTGATCGCATGATCGATTCCATGGCCGGCCACGAGATCCTCAGCTTTCTTGATGCCTACTCCGGGTACAACCAAATACAAATGAACCCAGAGGATCAGGAAAAAACTTCATTTATCACTAAGTACGGTACCTATTGCTATAATGTAATGCGGTTTGGCTAAAAAATGTCAGTGTTACCTATCAACGCCTAGTAAACCGAATGTTCGAAGAACAAATAGGTAAATCAATAGAGGTTTATATTCATGACATTCTAGTTAAGTCCCTGCGCAGAGGACCACTTGACACATTTGCAGGAAACCTTCGACATCTTGAAAAAATACAACATGAAGCTCAACCCCGAGAAATGCGCATTCGGGGTCGGTTCAGGAAAGTTCCTCGGCTTTATGGTATCAAATCGGGGAATCGAGATCAACCCCGATAAAATCAAGTCAATCAAAGATATCACAGTCGTGGACAACGTTAAGGCCGTACAAAGGCTAACATGACGGATAGCTGCTTTAGGCCGGCTTATCTCGAGGTCTTCTGATCGAAGCTACAGGTTCTTCTCACTTCTCAAAAAGAAGAATAATTTTACTTGGACCTTGGAATGCCAACAGGCATTGAATGAATTAAAGAGGTACCTTTCAAGCCCACAATTGCTTCATACTCCGAAAGCGGACGAGCAACTCTACTTGTATTTGGTAGTCTCGGAGGTCGGGTAAGTGGTGTCTTAGTTCGAGAAGAACAAGGTACGTAATTCCCTATTTACTATGTTAGCCGAACTTTAGGTCAAGAAGAGACCCGATACCCACACTTAGAAAAATTAGC